TTTTTTTTTGTTTCAATGTTGAGTGTTGTTATTTTATACGATAATTGAATTAATGATAAAATCATAGAAAATTAATTGAAATGTTTGTGCATATTGGAATATAGCTTATAAAATATGTATATTTATAAATTAAATTTAACAATTTTAGGAAGATAAAATAATAGAAATTATCAGTCAGAARTCATGCGCATGTACACTGAACGAAAATGGCTTAAAATTTTGGCCACCATTGTATATGCAAAGATACATGGCTATTCAAGAAATTATTGAACATCCTATTTGGAATGGTTCGATTAAAAAAGTATGATGGTTATCAAAAATTGAAAATTTGTAATTATAGGTATGTTTATAACATATTRATATTTATAAAATATAATTTGTAGGTTGTTGACTTTGGTTGTKCCGAGATGGGTTTATTTAAATGTATAAAACCAATTCCAGGACTTAACTACATTATACTTGTTGATGTGGATTTTGATACACTTGATATGAATCAGTGGAAAGTGTTGCCAACTAATTATGATCATATATCAATGCATGAACGTAAAGAGCCTTTGACAGTAGATATTTATAATGGAAGTATAGCTGATCAAGATGACCGAATGTTAGGCATTGATGCTGTTATATGCATTGAATTGTAAAACTCTGTTGCTGTTTTAATCAATAAACAAGGGCATTAATATAYTATTTTTGATTTTTAGAATTGAACATTTATATTTGGACGTTCTGGATTCACTACCCAGTAATGTGTTTGAATTCATTAAACCTAAATTAGCCGTGTTCACTACACCCAATGTGGAATTCAATATTCTATTTCCAAATTTTATAACCCAGTTTAGACATGACGACCACAAATTTGAATGGACCAGAAAACAGTTCAAGGAATGGTAATAATTCCTAAAAATATACATTAATTTAACAACTATGTTAATACAAATTTTTTTTTTATAGGGCTAAAAAAATAACCACTCGTTATCCAGAGTACGCTGTACAATTTGATGGTATTGGAGCTGGTCCTTCTGGTACAGAAAATATCGGTTGTTGTACTCAAATGGCTATTTTTTACAGGAAGGATATGACAACATCTCCTGTTAAACCTATTGTAAGAAATCTGTGTCATTAATTTAAATTTTTTATTATTTGATTGTAATTAGGTAACCAAAAAAAATAGTAGGCAAACTAAAGCAGTAA